TTCTGCCCGCCGTGCGCCCCGAGGCGCGCGGCGGCTTTCTGCCCCGTCGCCCCCGGGAGGCGCTGCGACGGGCGACGGGGACCCGCGCGTCGCCCCCCGTCGCCCGTCGTGGCCCCCGCGACCTGCGTAGGGCCCACGCGCGGCCCGTACAGCCTGCGCGCGGCCCGTACGGGCTGCGCCAGGCCCGCGCGCGGCCCGTACGGGCTGCGCCAGGCCCGCGCGCGGCCCGTACGGGCTGCGCCAGGCCCGCGCGCGGCTCGGGCCGCCTGCGCGCGGTTCGGGAGGCTGTGCCAGACCCGTGGGCGGCCCGTTCTTCGCTGCCCCTGTCCTCCCCGCTGTCCCCCGTGCTTCTGAAGGCGCCCCACCCCTCCTTCTGCCCGTACTCCTGGATTAGGGTTTGGGGGTGGGGGGTATGGGGGTGCAGCTTCTGTGTGCCGTTCCCTGCTCCTCCTCCTCCTCCGTCTCCCTGTGCTGCAGCTGCCGCTGAGGGGGGTGGACCTGTTGGAGCCGTCGGAGTGGTACTAAGGGGGGGTGAAGGGGGAGTGGAGCTAGCGGTGTAGCAGCGGGTGTGTGTCAGGGGGAGTGGGATAGTTTGGGGAGGTTGAAGGGGGTGGCCGCCGTGAAGCCAGCAGCTCCAGTCGCCCGTGAGACCGTTGCGCCAGTCGCCCGTGAGCCCGTTGCGCCAGTCGCCCGTGAGCCCGTTGCTCCAGTCGCCCGTGAGTCCGTTGCTCGTCTGCCGCTACTTTCAGCCGCGGAGCCAGTTACTCCAGTAGCCCGTGTGCCAGTTGCTCCAGTTGCCAGTGTGCCAGTTGCTCCAGTTGCCCGTGTGCCAGTTGCTCCAGTTGCGCCGTGTGCCAGCAGCTTCAGCTGCCGCCCACTACCTCCTCTCCTCTCATAGTCTCTTTCCTCCTCCTCACTTGCCCGTTGTGACTACCACTAGCTTTGCTCATAATTGTGAACTTTAAACTATTGCTTCTTGAACTTGTGCTCAGAATGTGTGGTGACATTGTGATCCACCCTGAGCTTGTACTGCTTTGCTTGCTCTGTTAATTACACCCCACTTTGGCTATGGGGGTGTGTCAGAATATTATGCTCTAGCCTGTAGTGGGGTGCTCTATAGCGAGTACAACCCTTCTAGGGTTTGCTATTTGTATCCCCATTCTTGCTAGTGTAACCTCTCCTTTCTTCATTCTTACTTTCTACTGCTAGTTTTGACATAACAAGACTCGCGACGTAGTCGAGACGACGTGTAGCTGCAAAGTCGACGAGCTCAGTGACTAGGGAAAACGCAGCAGTAGACTCAAAGGCAGGGTCAGTGACAACAGTAGCGAGGAGACGAGTGAGTGTAGGACTAGCAGCACGAACACTGTGGCCCCTCGCGGCTCAGCGCGCTCTGATACCATGTTAAATTACAAGTAGCTAGGAATGAGTCGATTGGGCTAACGTGGGGGGATACAAGAACAATGTCGAGATGGTTTTGAACCCCCTAATGCTAAACCCCCGTACAGCCTATATGAAAGCTATCAGATATGTTTTGATGTTGCAACCAAGAAACTGATATTTCTTTTTTAGAAGAAACAACCCTACCAGCTTCACCCGAAATCGCTGATGCTGCGATCTTTCTCCAAACTCTCATGTACCACAAATTCAAGAAACATCATACATTTACGTGTTTCCAGTCATTTTGATCAAGCTATTATTTGTACATACATAAAATATCGTGGTTTGAAATTTATGAGTTTTTTTTTTCTTATAATAAAACACAACATGCTCAAATCAAGTTGTCATTCGTTGACTCTGAGATGTAGAAATAACCCAAATGCAACACATAAAAACCCCCTCAAGATACCTGATTAAAACGCCCAATCAAGACACCCAATCAAGACCCCCCATCAAGACATCCCAACCTACAACCCATTCTCCCCCCCCTCCCCCCCCCACAAATCACAACAGCGTAACCACCCAAAGAGCCCCGCCTTCCACGTCGACGTCGTCCCTCTCCCGGTCCACCAGATCTACGTTAATCCCCCTCATAGAAGACGCCGCTCGAAGCAGGATGACACGTGCTTGCGCACGTTGTAACGCCACCCCGATGAGCGCCTTCAGTGACCCCAAAAGATAAGCCGAAAACACTGTGTCGTCCTCCCGAGAAGCCCCCCGCGAGACAGCTAGCCCCACGTGCGCATCCCCCTGCTGACGAAGCCACCGCCGAAAACGACCGCCGAGACACCCCCACGTCTCTACTATCAGAGGGGTGAATTGCACGCCCCGGTTGCGTGCAAGCAGAGGCGCGTAATCACTCGTTTTGCGGCGCTCCCACTCTCTTGCCGCCACACCTATGGATCGCCCGCACTGCCCTAGCAGGGATGGAGACGGCGGCGGCGCTGATCTCTAGGGCGCTAGCCTCTCCAGCCATTGGTCGTCGCACCGCCACATCGACCTGCTTCCCCTGCAGCACCACGCTATCCTCCATTGTCACCCCCCCCCCCGACGCCTTAGAGATCTTCGCCACCGCAAACTTCACCTCATCATGCACACGAGACTGACCATGCTGGTGCTTGCATCTCAGGGCATGATGCGGGTCTGCTGGGTCATCATACGCTGTGCCACAAACACACCTCCCCGCCACCTGCAGCTGCTAAATCGGGAGCCCGAGCCGTATAGCAGCAGCAATGCCCCACTCAGTTGCAGTGAATGTGAGATCTGAGTGAGCCGGAACCGCCGAAACCCATGCACCCGCCCCCGGGCCCTGAAGGAATGTGAAACGGGCCAAGGTAGCATCGTCAGGAGCCAAGCGGCGCAGTGCCTGGAGCTCCTATACAGCCAACTGCCGCTGCCGCGCCTGGAAAGGCCGAATCAGAGGGGCCGCTACACACAGAGGTAAGCCCGGTATCTCCTGGCGAATAGTCGCTGGCAGCTGCTCAAGAGCCTTGGCAAGCCACGGGTCAATAAAATCTGCCCCTGTCGAAGTGGTGAGGTACTCTGCAAACATCGCCTCCTCGCCCGCCACCCCTAACTGTGCAATGTTACGCGCGGCCTGCGCCCACCCGCAAACATAGGACAGCGGGCTCAAAGAGGCCGCCGCCTGGATCCCGAACCCTCCGAGTCGCACTAGGAGATGCAGCTGCATGTGTGCGCGCCTAGACCGGTCGGGGTCCTGCTCCCAAGTGCCAGGGGGGAAAAGCTGCTCAAAGCAATCCTCTAAACAGCTGTCCCAATCTCCTAAACCCTAAATGAAGGCTATCAGATATGTTTTGATGTTGCAACCAAAAAACTGATATTTCTTTTTTAGAAGAAGCAACCCTACCAGCTTCACCCGAAATTGCTGATGCTGCGATCTTTCTCCAAATTCTCATGCACCACAAATCCAAGAGACATCATAAACTTCCGCGGTTCATGTCCTTTTGATCAAGCTAATTTTTGTACATACATAACATATCGTGGTTTGGAATTGCGGAGTACATTTTTTTTTAGTATTTACTTCGTGTTCACTTGTTGGTTCGTGTTTGACTTCATGAAACGATCACACGTGTATGCTTGGGAGATGTAACTGTGTTCTGCATCAGACAAAATGGTGAGTGGGATAGCAAGTTCAAACAGATTTGAGTTCGTCTGGCAAAACAATGGGAATGTGTTTCACCCAGTCCCCTGCGGGAGAAATGCTCGTCAGAATCGAATTGGCAGTTGGGTACTGCCCTCTGTGAGCTGGCTAAATGCAGATTTGGCCGCGAATTTGGTAAAATTTCGATACGTCGCCCTCTCTTGTGGTTCAAATTGATTCTTTTGGCGGATAAGGCTGCAGCATTGAAAAGGAGTGTGGGTTTCAATTCAACAGCTTCTTCCGTCGCCTCGCCAGGCGGGAGCTGTCTGGCACAGTTGTTACGACACGGTGGATGGATATGATTGCAACTGGTTCTACGTCTCCAACAGTGAGCCAAAGAATTGGCAGCAGGTTTGGCGAAATTGTCTTTTTGCAACAATGGAACCTCCAGCGGTGCACAACGACCTGATGTACAGTTCATTCCGAAGGACCTCGTTGTTGATGTGGATGCTTCCTCGTGTAGCTCGATCGTACTGTTTCAACCCGGCGCTCTACTGTACGCTTGGCATGGCAGCCGAAAACCCCCCGCCAGGCTTGAGTAGATTTCGTGCCCCGTGAAACAGTGCTATGACATGGAAATCGCATGAGTTGTCCTCCCCTTCCTGACCGACCAAACAGCCTGGGTTTCCCGCCCTTCACCTCCGACGCTGCTGACACTTTTCCCATCCCTTTTGGGTGCACTTTTCGACAACCCTGCCCTGAACGTAAACTGATGCTGACGTGGCTCTCCACTGGAGGGCATTTCATGCGCAACTTCATCCCCTGACCACCACACGGTTTTGGTAAATCCCAGCCCCGAGTAGGGCTCCGTCAAGCAAAAACGCCCCAGTGCCCGCCGCTTTTGCTCGGTTATCCCCATGTCGAATCAGCTCCCTGCACCGCTTCGGTAATCTGCCCGCCTTGATTTCGTCGCCTGCCCTGCTTTCCCCACCCCACCCCCCTGCCCAGCGAAGCGAAACCCTCGTCCCTTGGTGCTGCGACAGAAAGGACCCCCTGGTGCTGCTTGATGCTTGCTGGTGCTACTTCCTCCCCCCCGCCCACCGCCGCTTCTCCCACTGCTACTGCCTGCCGTGGTCCCTCCGAGCCGAGCCTGCCAACACGGCCTCACCTGTTCTTACCTCGCCTTACCTCGCGTCACCTCACCTCTTATCTCACAGTCACTAGGGTTTGAATGGATGCCAGTGAACAACATCAGGCTCAGTTATCGCTTTCATAATCTGTTTGCTGACGTGTTGTTGCTAGTTACCTCGACTTACGTACTCTATACTTCGTGGTTGTTGAACTGGTGAAGATTCGTCGTACGGATCGCGCGTAAAAACTCTTGAAGGAGCAGTCCAGCATAGGGCTTAGATCGAAGCATTTGAGTGACATGGCGTCGCGAGATGGTGGTGGCGACATAATGGCTTCAGCGATAGATGATTATCCATCACTTAAGGCCAAATGGGTAGTTATGCAGCATGCAGGCAAAAAGCCGGGTTCCATGTTCGATGACCTCGCCTTCGTGTGAGTTATTTTGGTTTGTACCAGTTTTCCTGGTTTAGGTTGCACACAGTGTGTACTTCTTGTTGCATACCCGCATCCCTGGTAGCGTAACCTCTCCTGGTCTAGATTGCACACGGTGTGTACTTTTTGTTGCCTACTCGCATCCCTGGTAGCGTGGTGACGCGTTCGACATGTCTGGTGTGGGACTCGTCCGTCCATCTGTCCACTCGTAGTTCACTCATAATTCCCGGCTACGTTCTCTGTGCAGTCCGGATCATGACCTCCTTGACACCGTATGGCTCGATAACCCTCAACAAGAATCTACCGGTAAAAAAGGCGAGAAGCCGTGGCAGGTTGACCCCAAGGCTGCATCAGGTCCGTCCGAGGAGCTTCCATCGACGGCTGTTCGCGATGCTGAGCTGGACGTCGTCGTCAACAACCAACTTGCGGCACAGGATCCGCCTGCCGCTCCGCCGCCAGCGGCGTTTCGCGACGACATGGTGTCGTGGCTGCTGGACGAGGCGATCGACGGCACCTTCACGGCGGACGCGTGGCACGACTTCGCCGCCGCTGCTCTCGGCGAGGCGGGCAAGGAGATTCACAAGGACGCTGCGGCTGGTCCGACCGACCCTGCTGCCAAGCCTCCCCCTCTTCACGCTCCTGCTCCCGCAACCACAGAGGCAGATGCTTTTCAAAAGTCCGCCGCGTTCGGCGGCGTGAAACCGGGCTTTAAGAGCTTAAGGCCTGAACAAGCGATGGTGTCGCAGAGACCGGTCGGGCAGGGCCAGGCGACGGGGCGCGACGGGGTGGCGAAGAAGACGGCGCTGAGCAACATGGGCGTTGCCGCGCTTCTCGCGCAGAAACGAGCCATCAGCCTCAAGCCGGCCGCCGTGTTTCCCGGTAGCATGGCGGAAATGCGGATGAACAGCGGCGGGGCGGAGAAAGGCGCGGGTATGATGGGAAGGGGGCGAGTATCATGGAGATGTTCAGTCAGCAGTCGCAGCAGCTGCAGCAGGCGCAGGAGCTGCAGCACGAGCAGCTGGAGCTGCAGCAGCACGAGGAAGAGTTGGCCGCGCAGCAATTGTTCCTGATGGAGCAGCAGAAGCTAAGACAGCAGCAGCTGAAACTGCGACAGGCGTTTCAGCAGCAGCAGCAGCAACAGCAGCTGCAGCAGCAGCAGCAACAACAACAACAGCAACAACAACAGCAGGAGCAGCAGCAGCACCACCAAGAGCAGCAGCAACAGCAACAAATGTTACAGAGCAGCAGCAGCAGCAGCAGCAGCAGCAGCAGCAGCAGCAGCAGCGGAAGCTGCTGTCGCAGCAGCAGTGTCAGCTGGTGAAGCTGGAGGCGAAGCAGACATCCATGCGGTTTCCCGACCAGGCAAACGCTCTTCAAGGCAACTCCCCGCAGTGCGCCGCTCCGCGCGCCACGCCTCTCAACTTCTCGCACTTCTCTCTTCCCGCCGCCCTCTACGGCCGCACCAACTCCAAGTCCGCCGCCGCCGCCGGATCATCCGCAGCGGCGCCGCCCTCCAGCTCGCAAGGCAACTTCCGGCCGCCGACTAAGGTGCCGGCGCCGCCCTCAAAACCCGCCGCTCCATCTGCCCCCACGCTTGCGCGCGCAGGCGACCCTTCAGCGTCTCCCCCGCAAGCTACCGCGCAGCAACAAGCGCAACTGGCGGCTGCGGGCAGCCCCACGACAGGCGCTGCGAGCCAGTCCGGTGCTCCCGCGGGGCCTTCCGCACGTGCGCTGTCGCGGTCTCCGCCGGCCGGTGGCGCGTCGACCTCCGCGGCGCACTCTGTTGCGGCGGGCGCGCTTGTCTCCGCTGCGCCCAAGCCACTTCCGTACGCGCCGATCGCGAAGCAGCAGCAGCAGCAGGGCGCGGAGAGAATGCGCGGCGAGGCATCGGCGGACGCGTTTCACGCGTCGACGGTAACGAGCAACGTGGACGGCCCCGGCGCGTGGGGCAAGCACGAGCGCGACGGCACGGGCAGCTGCGCCGTGGGGGGCGATGACGACGACACGGTGGGCGCGCACAGGGAGCTGATGGCGCGCAAGAACACGTGCGGAACGAAGGATTCGGGCATTCATCCGGGGTCGGGCGGAGGGGGCGGGGGCAGCTGGGGGAAGCGGTCGCGCGAGGAAAGCGAGAACATGGCGTTCGACGAGGCGGACGCGGCGGAGGAATCCGGGGACACGCGCAAGACGAACACGACGGCGAAGCGCATGGCCGTGTCGGGCAACGAGAGCAGCGCCGCCAAGCGCGCGCGCGCCGCGGAAGTGCACAACATGTCGGAGCGGGTGTGTTTCCTGCTTGGCCTGCTCGGCTTGCTCCGCTTGGTCCGCGCTGTTGATTATCTTTTACCGTACCGTGTAGTCGATCATTCAACGCGTACAGTATGCTAACCTATGCTGTGACGTGGTGTGTGCTGTGACCCTCCGTGGCGTGCGTGCGTGCAGAGGCGGCGGGATCGCATCAACGAGCGGATGAAGACGCTGCAGGAGCTCATTCCCAACTCCAACAAGGTACGCCGCCGTCTCTCACTCCCTCCCTCTCGCCGCCATATCTCGTCCTTCGCCCCCGCCCATTTTCCCGACTCTACGTCGTACCCCCCCTTCCCCCCCACCGTTCCCTCTGCCCCTTGCGGCATGTTTATTCTGCTCGTCGCGTTTTCGCGTGTCTCTTACTTCGTTTTGCTTGCTAACCAGGAGCTCTGTTCTGTGCGTGCGTTGTGTGCGTGCGTGCCTGCCCGTGTGCCTGGTGTGTGCGATGGGTGGGTGTGTGGGGCATGCAGACAGACAAGGCGTCGATGCTGGACGAGGCCATAGAGTACCTCAAGATGCTGCAGCTGCAGCTACAGGCAAGTCGCACATCCACCACCCGCTCCCGCTGCTGCTCCTTCGCGCGCCGCTCTGCTCTTCCATTGGCCGTCCTTCGTGCCCTTCCCCGTGCACACCCCATTATCTATTTTCAATCCCTGTGGCGCGCTGTAATCATTCGTGTGGGGCTCTCTTCGCCTGGCCGCTCATTCTCCTCTCGTCCTCCCTCTCCCGCTTCCCATCCCGCCCCGCTCCTTCTCCCCGCGACCCCCCCTCCCCCTTGGCGCGCAGGTGATGTCGATGCGCACGGGCATCAGCATCCCATCCGGCCTCACGGGCGGGGGCGCGGCGCTGCCGTCGCTGGGCGCGGCGAACATGGCGGCGGCCGCGGCGCACATGGGGTCGTCACCACTGCCGGGCGCGCTGGGGATGGGGCTCTCAGGCATTGGCGCAGGGCTGGGCGGGGGACTCGGGGGGATCAACGCGGGGATGGGTATGGGGATGGGCATGGGGATGGGGCTTGGGATGGGCGGACTTGGAGGCATGGGGGGGTTGGGCATGGGTGGCATGGGCATGGGCGGCCTTGGGTTGTCCGAGCTTGCTGGACTGCCAGCTCAGCAGCGGCTCATGATGGAGATGGCGTGTGCTGACCTGGCGCCGAATACAGCCGGGCAGGGTCAACTGAATGACATGTCTTCGGTTGCTGCGGCAATGGCTGCTGCCACGTCATCGCAGTCGCTGTCCCAATCCGCGCGGCACTCACAGCTGCTGTCACAGTTGCAGGCGGCGCAGGCAGCGGTGGTGGCAGCGGAGGGCGGCGCCAGCGGAGGAGGGGGTGTGGGCCGGGATGGCGGAGGAGGGAGGGCAGCAGCAGCGTCAGCATCGGCGTCAGCATCCACGTCAGCAGCCATGGCGGCCGCGGCTGCAATGCTGGAGGGGCACCGGCAACGGGGGCCCTCGGTTGACCCCATGGAGGCTTACCTGGCACGGCACCAGCAGCAGCAGCAGCAGCAACAGCAGCAACAGCAGCAACAACAGCAGCAGCAGCAACAACAACAACGCCAGGTGCGTTTCCTTGTATTGCCAATGTTATTTTATAAATCAGCTCGCTCAAAACCCTCGTACCTGCCTAACCTGTGGAGTCCTTGGGAATACATGACAGCCTGGCTTTCTCACCTGTCACCTACTTCTCTCCCTTGTATGCCTGCAGGCGTTCAATCTGGACATGTACCAGGCGTTCCTGGCAGCAGCAGCAACAGCAGCAGCAACAGCAGCAGTAAGGTCAAGCCTCCCAGCCTTGAGTCTCGTGGCAATTTTCGTGTGGCTTCTGTGCTGTTGTGGGGTGCAGTATAATGGGGTCCCACGACAGCAGTAGTGGCAGGTCAGCATGTGGCTGATTGGTGCTTATGACACAATGGCTGTCCTGCACCTCCTTTGGTTACCCTTAGCTTGACCTGACAGGCCACTTCAAACATCCAAGTGTGCACGAGGTTACTAGCTTTCTTCAGGTCTTCCGTTGTTATTCCATCAATAGCCAGCCATGGCTGTTCTGTTGCCGAACACGGCAAACATGGTTGGAGTGGGAGGGGTTTGTCATTCTTCGATCATGGCAAACATGGTTGCCATGCAATGCAAACATGTTTGCCTGTACTTAATTTTGCTTGTGTTGTGCCCCTAGTTTTTTCCTTGGAGGGGCTGCACTGCAGTGACAATGAAGCATCCAATAAGTTTCCGGTTGCTCAAGAAGATGCATTCCAATTGAAACATAACTGTCCTGCGAAGCTTCAATGCTGGTGCAGTATGATGAGACTTTAGATTGAGCCTTGTACTTCTGTATGAAGATCTGACCTGCTGTGCATGTGCTGGGCTGAAGCTGTGGCGTCCATTGGGGTATGCTAATGCTTGAGAACTGCTGTTTTTCAGTCAAAACAGAACTAGTGACAGTTATTCCTAGTGGAAGAAGATAGTCTCAATAATATGATAATTTTTGAAAGTGTAATGAAATGTAACACTTTCTAAAATTTTGTATTGTGAAAAGGGGTACGTGGCCAACACAGCAAAGGTAGCGCCGAAGCGCTACTCACCCTCTTTTGCCTACAAAAGAGGGACGTGGGGACATTCGTCCCCACCCACGTTTTCATTTTCAAAATTGTAGTTCTAATTTCGTTCTCGTCCACACTGGCGAAGACTCTATCGCTTCCGCGCTTCACTGCCCCGTCAACGCTTCTTAACGACATCCTTAAGCGCAACCTCGCAGCGATGGCTCCAGTCAACCCGGCACTTAATCGCGACAACTCGAATATTTCTAGCCCCGGTAACGCGGCGGAAACCTCGACTCCGGCCGGGACAACGGATCGTCGCGGCGGAAAACGTCCCGCCGAAGAAATTTCAAGCGAGGGACCCTCGGCGGTCGACCTCCTGCTCGGAGGCACCCTTCGGACCCCCCCTGAGGAACGCGCGACTGTTGTACAGTCGCGCGTGGCTGCTGCTGAAGAGCGCGTGCCTGGCAGGCACGCGCGTGCTGCGCAGAAGACGACGACCGCCGCTGACGCGGCGGCCGTCTTGACCGGCGCTGACGCGGGTCCATCCGGGCCCACGACCCAGAAACGCCAGCGCGCGGCACCCTCCGCTGACGTCACCCCGGTCAACGCACCCCCCCCTTTGACTGCGCAGCAGCTGCAGGCGCTGCTCTCGTTATTGCAGCAGCACGCTCCATCGACTGCAGCTACATCAACGGAAGAAATTTCCGCTTCCGCTAAAATCGAAAAGCAGAAGGAAAACGTCGCAGCCCCCCGCTCCACCAAAATCGCTCGCACCAACAACGCTGCTCCTGCTCCCGCCCCGGCTCCGGCACCAACCCAAGCCCGTATCCCCGACGACAGCGACGACTCGGAAAATGAAGACGGTGAGGCCCCCGACAACCTTGCTCGTCGTCGCATTCTCGCACCCGCACCTCCCCTTCCCCCCCTTAACCCTACACCCGCAGCTACTACCTTCATGCGCAAGGGAGTGCGTGACCAGGCGGAGGTGTTCTCCGCAATTCAAGCTCACCTGAGGCACGTCGAGTTCAAGCTCCAAAACGGCGACGTCGAGGGCGCGCTCTCCAACGTGGAGCAAATCGAAACGTTGATCAACAAACGCTTCGAGGTGCTCTTGGTGGCGGATGAGGCCGGTTTCGAAGCGGCGGATCGGTTCCAGCTGTACCAAGCCAAGAGCGTGCTCACGTCCCGCTCTTACAAGCTCGCGGTAGCCGACGTGGCGGCCCTCAAGCGTGCACGTACCGGCTTCGCCCGCGGAGGCCGCCTTCCCCCTCGAGACGGTGAACCGGAAAGCAAGGGCATGCCACCCGCGGGCTGCCACGAGCCCCGCTTCAAGGGGGTGTGTTTCCGTTGCGGCCAGCCCGGCCATATGGCAAACAATTGCCCTATGGGAGGGCGTGGCGCACAAGGTCCCACACCCGTGGTGTGAGAGGACCCATGGGGCGGCGCCCCTTGCCACTATGCCGGGGGGCGTAGGTGGATGCACCGGTGGTGCGTAGGCTGGTTAGGAGCCTTGGAACGTAGTATAGGCCATGGGGGCCAGGGCAAGATGGCAGCCGTAGGGGCTGGTTATTGTGTAGGCCTAGGCTTGTATGCCTTTGTGTGGATTAATAAAAGAATTTTGTTATTGGACAAAAAAAAAAAAAACAATGGAGAGAGAGAAAGGGAGACAACATGAGGAGAGAAGACAAATGGCACAACCAATCAAAAATCCAGCCCCCTCTTGAGGAGGCAGCCATGGAGGAATGATTGGCCAGGGGTGAATGACAAAGCAAGGACCAAGAGAAAAACAAAGAAGAAGGGGGAGAGAGAGAGAGAGAGAGAGAGAGAGAGAGAGAGAGAGAGAGAGAGAGAGAGAGAGAGAGAAGAGAGAGAGAGAGAGAGAGAGAGAGAGAGAGAGAGAGAAAGAGAGAGAGAGAGAGAGAGAGAGATAGAGAGAGAGAG